CAGTAGCGTGGCGCATTCCATCTCGAAGTGGGGGAGGCATTTTACACGTTCGCTAATTCCATCGTCGTATTCATCGCTTTACAAAAGTTGACTACAATGAGAAGTAGCGAAGGTGCAGTATGCCCACCCCTAAGCCGAACTGCGCCCAGTAACGAAACTGTCCCTGAACCTCACAGGAGAACGTAAACCAGTGGTGGTACGCCTCAAAGGGTACGACACGCAAGATTTTCTTCATGCGTGACCTCGAATATCTCATTACCGTGCGACCCCTGCAGAGGTCAGTCAACATGTAAATGTGGTGGCAAGGGAGAGGAACTGAATAGACCACTAGACACCGACAGAGACGGACAAACGGTTTAGTTTTGAATGTAGCCCGATATGTTAACCCACTGCAAACATCGAAGTCGCCCTTTCCCTCTGAGGACTGACCAGCTGATAACTTCATAGCAAGATTTTTAGATTACGTGAACCGTAGAAGGCTTACGGCTTCACAAGCGCTAAAATTATACCGATTAAGTGGCCCCACGTAAGAATTTAAGACGCAAAAGACCTATTTCCGTGGCGGCTGCCCACCTAGGGAAAGTCTTGTGCCCTGGAATGGCCGTGATGGACGCCTATACGATCTCTTCACTGCTTCATCCCATGGACACACTCAGTGATCTTGCTAACTTACCAGAAACTCAAGCGGTTCTGAACACGCACACGCGGAGTGAATTCGTGTTCAGTCGTGAACTTCGAGCACCCCCCTCCCTGCCCCTCCTCCTCCATGTGAATTTTCCCATGCCAGTACGAAAGCTAAAGTGAGGATCCGCGGCTGAACTTTTAATACAAACATCATGCTTGTTTACTTCAAGTTCGAAAGCAATCAGATATATCGATCCTATCACGCACTCGAATCACTGCACACCAGCTGTTTTGAAAAAAAAAAAACATAAACTGAGTGTAATTCGATATCTCTCATACATACCTCCAATCTAACGAACTGCACATTTGTTCGTTTATACCCAGGAAGTTCGCGATCCCACAATTGCTGCTGAGCCTCTCGTCCTTTTGCCGAACCGTCATTAGCGAAAACTGTCATTAGAAGCTTCCCAGGTCTGAACACCACGAATCATTCACCCAAATCAACCCTTAATCGGAAGATACTCACCGGAAACACTTCAGCACCTCCTTCGTCTGCTTGTAGAGGCAAACAAGGTTCTGATTCGTCTCAAAAGATGCAAATGAAAACTCTTTCTCTGGTGTTACGTGTATGGTGGCATAGTGGTCCTATAAGGGCAATTCTATAGAATTGAGACTGAGGGTATTCCAAAAGAGAAAGAAGGGATATGACATACCGATCCTGGCAGAAAAGCGTTCATGCTATATCCGCATGGGTCGAACAAGTTCCTTCGTGAATGAGAGTTCCATTTGGTACTATATGATCTATGCCAGCACGCTGAAAAGGTTGAATAATGACATTATGACTCTGTTAGAAGACTTGATCAACACTTGGCGAAATAAAGCCCTGGTGGCAATGTCTATAAAGATCCATTTGCGGGTATGCGACAAAACAATCGCAATATGCCGCGCTGGGCGTCGCGAGCGATGCGCGCGAGACAGACGAGTTGTTCAGCTCAGCCATTTGAGTTGTTGAAAAGACGGGAGGATCGATATAACGAGCATAGAGTTTTGCTTCTTCTCTGATTCACATGGGTTTCGCTGCTCCAATCGGTAAACTGATGCTGATCGAGTAACTGCCGCGCACGCTGCACAATGCGCCGCGCGACGGCAGAACAAAGTGCAGTTGGTCCGTTCCGAAGAAAAAGCTTACCTCCGTACAATCTTTTCCGTTTTCGCAAGCGTCCTTTGTGAAGATGTGCAGAACGTCTTCATCAAGGTCAGTCATCAATATTTCCAGTGTATGGTCCTAAATTAGGGTCCTACAAAAACATCCAATCTGCCATTCTTCACATAATTTGAAGACACACCGAATCAAACATCCATAAACCCCATCTTCAAAGAATCCCCTTTGACTTACGCAAGTTTGCATATTAAAAAACTAAAAAAATTTGTACATTACTGACCGCAAGTTTTGTTATCGGCTGAGGAACATGGTAAGTGTAGAGATACCAACGATCCTGCTTCAGTGAGCCCATACAATATGCATGTCCATCTGAAGATATTATACACTAGCTTTGAAAGTAGTCTACATTGTGCTAAGATCAAAAATGGCGATAAGATGATAAGAAAATGGAGAAGGACGTCGGCTGTCCAAGGGTTTGGTTTCCCCCCTCAACGAATGGTCCCACTGCCAAGCCCCTCGATGAATCGGCACTACAATTTCCACCTTGGAAGGGTTGGGGATCTCTACGAGAAATAGAGGGGGAGGCAAGTCGCCAGTGAGGGGCAGCAATTCAAAGGACCTTTCGTGGAGAACTGGGGTCACCGCAATGCAAAACCCCCTTCTTTGCACAAAGAAAATGAATCATCCGTGCCGGAGCTCCCTTCATCCAAGGCTTATTGTTAGGCAAAACTCCTCATCTCGCCCCCCCCCCGCTTTAGCTGACTTCCATCAAAATATGCTGTAAAAAGTACTAGCTACTGAACTTACCGTGAAAGAAGCTGTCCAGGTAATCAACCTCAGCGTCAAAGGAACGGTGTTCTTCGGGCTGTAGTTCGGGTCGAAGGAAGTTCTTCCGTGAGTAGTACACCGACATCACCTAATTAACAAGACTATTTCCTTTTTTTAAGCTGATACTTTTATATTTCATGGTTTTTTTCATCTGATAACTTTATGAATACATTTTTTTGCCTTCCAACCAAATCAGTGTTTTTCCCTCTGGGAATCCCCGGCAGACACATTTTTCCTCTATAGCAAATCCAATTACAAGAGTTTCTTACTGATAGCAAGCCCGACACAGTAAAGGTCAACTGATAAGGCTGAATTGTCCCATCAAAGAAGATAACAGTATGGAACCATTTAATACGTTGTGTTCAGTGACCAGAGATCAGTACTGGTTTTCAAATGTCTGTAAAAACTGCACCTGGTCAAAGCCTGCATAATCTGCAGCTAGCTGGATGATTGTTGGCAAGGCTGCAAGCAAGCGTGTCCTACCACATGTCTTCAGGATTAAACGACGTTCCGATACAAAGAGGCTGCTTTCACTGAAAACTCAGCTCTTCAGCATCAGTAACAAATAAATAGGCACTGCTCGGCTCGGGAGGGGCATTTCACACTTTCGCTAGTTAATAAAATACACGTCTCACCTTGGCCAAACCAGTAGATTAGCAACAATGGATTTCTGCCAATGCATAGCTTAACAGGAATTTACAGGTATCCACATGAAGCATCAGCAGCGATCCATGGGAATCAGAAAAATGCCCCCACCAAGCTGAACTGCGCCAATAACTAATTCACAGGTGAAAAGCGCTTCTCACCTGAGGACATAACTGTCGATGAATTCTGTATGGGCTGACTGAAGAACTTTGCACTGGGCAATGTTGAGCATTGCGTCAAGCTCATATCTCGGTATACGACGGAGAGAACCACTTCTGCCACTGCTGTTCCCAAACCACAATTCCAACAGTTTCTCCGCTCCTGAAAGAGTCACCAGAATCTCAAGCTCATAAGGAGCATCTGTCGTCCACAAAAAACCGAATTTTGGATCTGGTTCGAAAACTGAAAAAAAAACTTAAACAGGTACAGTTTTGTATACTGCGGATGAAGGGGCGTGTCAGTCAGGCTGCGTTGACTCTCCTATTATTCACCAATCGTTAGAGCAAATAAGCGAAAACAGTTGGTGGAAAGCGCCCCATACGAACGATATAGTATAGTACAGTCTTTTGCTTGCCAAGAGGAAAACCGGCTGACGCTGCGCTAAACCCATCCTCCATCACCCGCAACGAACAAGAGTATAAACAAATATGAATCTATTCTACAAATGTGTATCAAGGACGGCCCTGCAGCTGTTACGTGCCGAAGGCACTCAACCCGAAGGAGTACCTCCAGCCTGCAGAGCTGCAACACGTTGAATTCAGTTCGAGCGGAACTGACCTGAAGTCTCGCGTGTCTTTCTGGTCTCTCACTCTTTTTCTCGAGCCCCGTCTTTCTGGTCTCTCACTCTTTTTCTCGAGCCTCTCAGCCGTACAGCGGTATCCCGCTTCTTGGAAAACTAGCCCTGTCCTTATTATGGGGCGCTTTCAATGGCTTTTTACTCTCTTTTCTAGTAAGTCAGCTACAATCTGTGGACTCATATTCGGACCCCAACGGGCTCACGAACTGTAATCGCGTAATGGGAGCAGTTCGGCTTGGTGGGGGCACAAATGATACACATAGAAGGCTGTTCAAGCCACCTTGTTAATAACTGTAGATTCTTGCAACCGACGTGGCCCACTTGCATCGTTTCGCAACCTCACAAGAGTTTACAGTCTTACAACAATGAGACCTCTTATTTGATATGAGTTAGCAAAAGGAACCAGAAGAAGTTCGA